CCTCAGAGCAGGAGTGGTTTTACTGCATGAATACTGTTGCTTTGTGTGCATTAAACAGATCTCTACCCAGCATTAAGCCTCGGCTCATGTGTGGAGGGTTATGCTATGCTTGTGTCTACACTCTGACTGGAAGCATTATTCGCTAACTACTTGGAGAAAGGGTACCCAAGACGGTCAGAGAGGGTTGGACCGTCACAATTGGTGGCAGTGGTGGGATCGTCCCTTTCTCATGAATTTATAATTCAAGGCTGAACCTGGAGCATGCATGGAAGCTTACTACAACCAGCTCAAGCATAACACACTGAAAGACTTATTGGAGGTTTGAGGGGGCAGCGGCAGCAATAAGACCAGGCGCTGTATTGTAAGCGAACTAATGGAGCTGGACAGGGAAAGCGTTGCTGCGGCAACCCTGGCTTTTCTTGCAGAAGAAAGAAAAGTGGACCGAGAAATAAGGGAAAGGCTGGCGCTGTTCGGACCAAACCCTGTGCCAGAAATCATCCTTCGCATAATTGACAGAATGAAAATGCGAATAAACAACGGGAATTACAAATCCGCTTAGTGGAGGCGCAGAGAACTACAGCAGTCACACCGAACAGTTCCAGCTTTAACCCCGAACTGTGGAAAATTCCCTTCAGCACATTCAAAGCATTTGAGGAGGCTACAGACGAGATTGATGGCTATTTGGTAGACTTTGAGAGACAATGTGCCCTACACAAGATACCAGAAAGGGAACGGGTTCCAATTTTCGCTGGAAAGCTCTCTGGCAAAGCAGCTGATGCATTCAGAGACATTCCTGATCAGGACATAAGCAGCTATGAGCAGGTGAAGGAAGCCCTCCTAGCCCGGTACCCAGTGACACCAGAGGCATACCGGTGAAAATTCCGGGAGTCCATTAAGATAGCAACCGATTCGTACACGGAGTGGGCTTGCAGGCTGCATCGGGCAGCCATCCACTGGGTGAATGGATGCCAAGCTACCACCATGGAGGCATTATTACAGCTGGTGCTGCTTGAACAGTTTTTCTCGCTGCTACAAACGGATGTATAGGAATGGGTGAGGAATCGTAACCCCCTCACCCAGCAAAAAGCAGCCCGGAATAAACGGATGCCTGCAAGCCAGAACGCCTGCCCCTCAGACCTCAACCAGCATGGGTTGAGCCACCAGCACCACTGTCAGGGGGCAACTATCCACCACCACAGTGAGCCCCAGCAGCCGTTAGTCGACCTCCCCAGACTACGTGACCCAGATGTTTCCAGTGCAAGCAGGTGGGACACTACTGCAGGGATTGCCCAATGGTACCTACCCAATCTACGTGGACTCGTCTATCCGGTATCAGCTCCCGACCAGCAGGACACACCATCAACTTCCCCGTGTCCTCTACCTTGGAGGCCCGGGAGTTAACCAGGGAGGAGCCCTTGTGGTTTCCCTCATGAGGCCAACCCGGTGCAGGCTGCCAGGGGAGATAAACGACAACACCACCGACAACTAGTGATGGTTAACTAGACTTAATGGGACCCCTAGCTCATCCTAGTCGCTCAGGTAAAAGGTACATACTCACTCTAGTCAACTTCGCCACTAGATATCCTGAAGTAGTAGCACTGTCTAACATTGAGGCAGAGACAGTAGCGGGTGCCCTGGTCAGGGTGTTCTCAAGAGTCTGATTTCCCCAGGAAATCCTATCAGACCAGGGTACCTGTAATAACTGTCTGTGTGTTTATTTAGTTGAATAAGTCTTTTTTATAGATATATATATATATATATATATATATATATATATATAGAGATAGATAGATATTTCTTCTTTGGGTCAGGCTCGCCACACTAATATATGTCAATATTAGTGAAAAGTACTAATACGCAATCTGACGTTCTTTATAAAAAATAAGCATTTATTCTACTTCAACAGCAAACAATAATATACTTAACAGATGGTATTTCTTAACGACGTTACAGAGAGTCATCTTTGTATCAGCAACTCAGGACATCAGAGAGGAGAGCAAAACAGATCGTAGAAGGAAGAGAACGTGGCCCTTTGTCCTCTGCCCTATATAGCCCAAATTACGTCATAACGTTTAGTTTAGACTCTGGCCATATAAGGAAATTCCCCATATAAAGACCACCCCAAATCTCTTATACAGCAAATTCCAGAGATCTCATGGTACAGAATATCAAATGCCATCTGTTCTGTTTAACCCATTAGACAGCCACACCTTAATGTGTATTTGAATAGGAACATATAGAATATGCAATATTCTACAGTACCCAGTTCACTGCCGCAGTGACCCAGCAGTTGTGAAAGGTCTGCGGGATAAAACCCCTGACTAGCTCCCCATACCATCCCCAGACCAACGGTCTATGCGAGCAGTTCAATGGGACTCTGAAGCAGATGCTGAAGACGTTCACGCCCGCTTGCAGGGACTGGGAGCGATTCCTGCCGCACCTCCATTTTGCTTACCGGGAGGTCCCACAGGAATCAACGGAGTTCTCCCCCTTTGAGTTGTTATACGGTAGGCGAGTGAGGGGACCCCTAGACCTGATTAGGGAGCATTGGGAGGGAGCCACAGAGTCAGCAGGGACCTCGGTGGTGCCATATGTGCTGTAACTGAGGGACCGTATGGAGGCATTGACCCAGATGGTGCATGAAAAACTCCAGTCGGCTCAGCGGCGCCAGTGGGTATGAACGACTGGAAGGCCAGGCACCGTAGTTTTCAGGTAGGACAGCGAGTTATGGTACTTAAACCAGTCCGACGGGACAAACTACAGGCTGCCTGGCAGGGACCCTACAAAATTATTGGGAAAGTATGTGACACTACGTACATGGTAGCCAGCTGTGATGATGAGAATGTAAAGCGCACATTCCACATCAACATGCTGAAGGAATACAAGGGGAGGTGGTGGCCGTGTGTGCGCCACCATCCGAGGATCTAGACACCCTACCCCTGCCGGATCTATTGGAGGGTGACCAGAGGGTACGGGCTATAGAGTTGGTACAGTTGGGGGAACGGCTGGGACCACAGGAATGGGCCCAGGCGATAGCCCTTCTGGAAGCCAAACAGGCTACGTTCTCTCGGGTACCCGTGTACGCAAGACTGGCTGTCCACAGGGTGGAGACCCCAGGCCAGGCTCCCTTGCGGCAGCCCCCCTACCGCATCCCTGAGGCAGTCCGGATGTGGAGGGAAATAATTGAACTGCTACGCTTAGGGGTCATTGAACATTCCGAAAGTCCTTGGGCTTCGCTGGTAGTGCTAGTGCCGAAGCGGGACGGCACGACCCGCTTCTGTGTAGACTTCCGACGACTCAACGATAAGACTGTCACAGACGCCTACCCGATGCCCCGGGTAGACGAACTGTTGGCCTGGATGGCTAGGGGGAAATATCTGACAACAATAGACTTATGTAAGGGCTACTGGCAAACTCCCCTAGCCGAGGACACCATTCTAAAATCGTCCCGTTCGGCTTATACCAGTTCTGAGTTATGCCGTTCGGGATGAAGAATGCCCCAGCCACTTTCCAATGGATGGTAGAGCGCCTCCTAAATGGTCTCCAGGGTTATGCGTGCGCATACCTGGACGACATAGCGATTTTTTGTGAAACCTGGGAGGCCCACTTAGAACATGTAGGGACGGTACTGGATAGAATCCTGGCAGCTGGCTTGACCTTGAAGCCTGACAAGTGTCCAAGTGTCACATTGATATGGCGGAGGTGCAGTACTTGGGCCACCGGGTAGGATGTGGAAAACAATGGCCGGAGCCCGCTGAGATTGAGGCTGTTGCCAACTGGCCCACCCCCCATACCAAGACGCAAGTTATGGCTTTCTTAGGGACAGCCGGCTACTACAAACGCTTTGTCCCTGACTATAGCACCCTGGCCAAACCCCTGACGTACTTGACAAAAAAGAACTTACCCCGACAGGTCCTGTGGTCCCCGGAGTGCGAGGCAGCCTTTCAAGCATTGAAGCAAGCTCTTATAAACGCACCTGTTCACGCTGCCCCCGATCCTAACAAACGTTTCATTGTACACACAGATGCTTCAATGTTTGTCTTGGGGCAGTCTTAAGCCAGGTCAGAGAAGACAGGGGTAGCACCCTGTAGCCTATTTGAGCCGAAAATTGTTGCCCAGGGAGGTCAGCTATGCGGCCATTGAAAAAGAATGCCTAGCTTTAGTGTATGCATTGAAGAAACTAACACCCTACTTATATGGCTGGCCGTTTACCCTCATCACGGACCACAAACCTCTCGTCTGGCTCAATCGGGTTGCAGGAGATAATGCCCGACTTCTACGGTGGAGCCTCGCATTACAACCATATGACTTCACCATCCACTACCGACCTGGCAAAATGAATGGAAATGCGGATGGCCTATCCCGACAAACTGAATTAGCGGCCCGAAAAGGGGCCAACTGTGTCTGCTGGAGCTGTCAGCAAGGGGGGAGCAGTGGGAAGAAAACCTCTGTTTTATGGACTTAATTTGACTATTTTGTTCTTAGAACACCAGTTTAAACCCTTAATAACTGTCATATTTTCAAACTCTGTCTGACCCTTTTAACTGTCATTTTTTGTTTTTCCTCAGAGCAGCAGGGACGTATTAGCCGCGAGGCAAACAAGGCATTTGCCTTGGGCGGCATTTTTCATTTGCCTAGGGCAGCACAAAACCAGGATACACCACTGCAGAGCAGGAGTAGTTTTACTGCATGAATACTGTTGTTTTGTGTGGCATTAAACAGACCTCTACCCAGCATTAAGCCTCGGCTCATATGTGGAGGGTTATGCTATGCTTGTGTCTACACTCTGCCTGGAAGGATTTTTCGCTAACTACTGGGAGAAAGGGAACCCAAGACGGTCAGAGAGGATTGGACCATTACAGGTTAGAGATAGGGTTAGTGTAGGGTTAGGGTTGGTTTAGGTTAGGGGTAGGGTAGGGTTAGTTTAGGAGTAGGGTTAGGGTTGGTTTAAGGTTAGGGGTAGGGTTAGAGGTAGGGTTAGGAGTAGGTTTAGGGGTAGGGTTAGAGGTAAGGTTAGGTTAGGGGTAGAGTAGGGTTAGGGTTGGTTAAGGGTTAGGGGTAGGGTTAGAGGTAGGGTTAGAAAAAGGGTAAGGGGTAGGGTTAGTTTAGGAGTAGGGGTAGGTCTAGAGGTAGGGTTAGCATAGGGTTAGGTTAGGGGTAGGGTGAGGGGTACGCTACCCTAAACCTACCCCAACCACTAACCCTACCCCAACCCCTAACCCTATCCCTACCCCTAACCCTACTCCAACCACTAACACTAACCCTACCCCAAAACCAAACAAATTGCACATGTCTATTAGATGGTATAAAACGCCCCAATCATTGAACGCCAGAGTGCCGCATATGTCAGATGTATAGGTGTACATGTGTCCTATCTGTCACGCCCTCTGCTAGCCTCCCCCACCTTTGTCTCTGGTAATCTTCTACAACCCCACCCAAACCAAAACCCCTGCCACCCTTCATCAAAACAATCTGTTTAATAAAAAAATAACACAAAAAGCAATAATAAGATCGAGAATAATCACACTTATCTTAAAGCCTGCTGCTCCCTGGTCCCACCTGACAGTGTTCCAGTTCAAATCACCTGGGGCCGGTCTGACAGCCCTGATCATTGGGCTGACAGCTCCTGTGCAGCCCTGTAATCCCAGCCGGCCATGTGTGAGCTGTGCGGCCGCACAGAGCCCCATGGGAGCAGGGGGATCCAGGCGGCCGGCACAGCTCACACATGGCCGGCCGGGATCATAAAAAAATAAAAAATAAATTTGTGGCAGGGGCGGAGCTTACGTGCGGTGGGGCGGAGCTAGCGGCAGGGGCGTGGCTTACTGTGCGGCGGGGGCCTGGCTGACTGCAGCATGGGAAGCAGGAAGGAGTCCATGCTTCCCCAACAACAAGCCTCCAGGAGCTCCAAGCGGGAGGTAAGAAGCAGGTCAGTGTGTCTGTGTGAGTGTGTGACTGTCTGTGTGTGACTGCCTGTGAGTGTGTGACTGTCTGTGTGAGTGTGTGACTGTCTGTTGTGACTGTCTGTGTGAGTGTGTGACTGTCTGTGTGTGACTGTCTGTGTGAGTGTGTGACTGTGAGTGTGAGACTGTCTGTGTCAGTGTGACTGTCTGTGTGTGACTGTCTGTGTGAGTGCATGACTGTGAGTGTGTGACTGTCTGTGTGTGACTGTCTGTGTGAGTGTGTGACTGTGACTGTCTGTGTGTGAGTGTGTGACTGTGTGTGTGTGACTGTCTGTGTGAGTGTGTGACTGTGTGTGTGAGACTGTCTGTGTGACTCTCTGTGTGTGAGTGTGACTGTGTGAGTGTGTGACTGTGTGTGACTGTCTGTGTCAGTGTGACTGTCTGCGTGACTGTCTGTGCGGAGTGTGCGACTGCCCGCGTGCGTGACTGTCTGTGGAGTGTAACCGCATGCGTGGACTGGGTTCGTGCACGTTCGCGTGAGTGTGTACTCGGTTCGTGTGAGTGCATCGCGGGAGTGCGTGACTGTCTGTGTGTGACTGTCTCGCAGGTGTGTGACTGTGTGTGACTGTCTGTGTGAGTGTGAGACCGTGGGGAGTGTGTGGGACTGTCTGTGGAGTGTGACTGCCCGTGTGTGAGTGTGTACTGTCTGTGCGTGAATTTGTGACTGTCTGTGTGAGTGTGTGACTGTGAGTGTGTGACTGTTTGTGTGTGACTGTCTGTGTGAGTGTGTGACTGTCTGTGTGAGTGTGTGACTGTCTGTGTGTGACTGCCTGTGAGTGTGTGGCTGTCTCTGTGTGACTGCCTGTGAGTGTATGACTGTCTGTGTGAGTGTGTGACTGTCTGTGTGTGCCTGTCTGACTGAGTGTGTGACTGTGAGTGTGTGACTGTGAGTGTGTGACTGTCTGTGAGTGTGTGACTGTGTGACTGTCTGTGTGCGTGACTGTCTGTGCGTGACTGTCTGCCGGTGTGTGTGTGACTGTCTGCCTGTGTGTGAGTGTATGGCTGTCTGCCTGTGTATGTGTGTGGCTGTCTGCCTGTCTTTGTATGTGTGGGTGTTTGCCTCGGTGTCAGTGACTGTGTGCCTGTGTGTGTGTGTGGCTGTCTGCCTGGGTGTCAGTGACTGTCTGCCTCTGTGTGTGTGTGCGCGCATCTGCTAGTGAGGGAGCCTGTGTGTGTGTGTGTGTGTGTGTGTGCCTGCTAGTGAGTGAGCTTGTATGTGTGTCAGTGAGCTTGTCTGTAGGGATCATATGTGTGTGTTAGTGAGCTTGTCTGTAAGGAGCATGAGTGTGTCGGAGCCTGTCTGTGGTGAGCATGTGTGTACAGTGAGCTTGTCTGTAGTAAGCATGAGTGTGATCGTGAGCTTGTCTGTAGTGACCATATGTGTGTCAGTGAGCTTGTCTGTAGTGAGCATGTGTGTGTCAGTGAGCTTGTCTGTAGTGAATCTGTGTGCTATTGAGCTCTTCTGTAGGGAGCGTGTGTGTCAATGGGCTTGTCTGTAGGGAGAGTGTGTGAGCATCAGTGAGCTTGTCTGTAGTGAGCGTGTGTGTGTGACAGTGAGCTTGTCTATAGTAAGCTTGTGTGTGTGTATCAGAGTTTGTCTGTACTAAATTTGTGTGTGCGCCAGTAACCTTGTCTGTGTGTGTCATTGTCTGTCAATGAGCCTATTTGTTTGCATCAGTAAGATTGTCTGTCTGTGTGTGAGTATGCTTTACTGTATAATTTAATTACCCTAAAAGAACTAATATTTTGAATTAGAAGAAGAAATGGATCAATAAAAAAAAATAAAAATAATAAAAAAAAAAAAAATATATATATATATATATATATATATACTGTTGCATCACCAGGGCTCCAGTATCCAGTATATATATAGGCAATTGAAATAGTTGGCTGCACTCTCTGGTTTTCCTTAAAACTTTACTTTTATTTAAATATTTAAGAGAAGATCAACGTTTCAGTCCCTCTTGTGGACTTGCATCAGGATCATGACGAAAGTCCACAAGAGGGACTGAAAGATTGATCTTCTCTTAAATATTTCAATAAAAGTTACATTTTCAGGAAATCCGAGAGTGCAGCCAACTATTTCAATTGCTTATATATATATATATATATATATATATATATATATAAACACCCTACATAGCACAATGACTTATGGGGCTGACATAGATCTTTTTCCAGGGCTGCTTCGTGTCCCCAGTCCGGCCCTGTCGCTCCCACACGCTCCCCTTGCGTGCTCCAGATTTTCTCTTCCTGCACCACAATAAAAGTGATTCTCGGCCCCGACTTGCCTCAGAATTCGCAAGTCAAGTGCATAGCACTATGCACTTGACTTGCTCTGCACTACAGTCAGCAGACAGATAACTCGGGCCAGCCTGTGAGTGACCAAGAGTAAGCTTTGTCGGCCGCCCGGTGCACCTTTCACCATGGCGCACTGTGCGGCCGCCCAGCTTGCACACCCCTAAGGCTGGCCCTGTAGACAGCCCAAATCAAAGCTTTGCACATGACAGTTTATTGTGAAAAGCCTCATTCACAAAACTGTGAATATGATAAGATCCATCCCCACCCTAAATGAGACTAAAAGGAGAGATTACTAATTAAACTTTTTCCTGGTCTGCGAGATGCTTTTCACTACTGCTACAGTGATTTGCGTATTTAAGCACAGTTAGCGGAACTTGATAAGTATAGTTTTTATTTAAATGTGTTTGATTTTTTTAGTTTTTCATTTATGAATGGCATCAACATATATTATAAAAGATTACTAAAACTCACTCACTTAAAACTGTAACAAATTAAATCCAAATGGCAAAATGTTGGCTAAAATAGCCAGGCCCTTACAAGCTGAATTGGAGAATTTCTCCCAGTCAGCTAAATTAGCCTACATTTTGCCATTCAGATTTTAACCCAGTACAATTTGGAATTTAGTGAATTACTCTGATAGAGATGCAACAGTAACACAAATCTAATACAGAAAGGAGATGCAACATTTTGCAACATAATTTCAAAAAGTCAGATGTTTAACCAAAAGTGGTCTTAAAGGACCACTATAGGCACCCAGACCACTTCAGCTCAATGAAGTGGTCTTGGTGACAGGTCCCCCTAGTTTTAACCCTGCAGCTGTAAACATAGCAGTTTCAGAAAACCTGCTATGTTTACATTGAGGGTTAATCCAGCCTCTAGTGGCTGTCTCCCTGACAGCCACTAGAGGCCGCTTCCGCGATCCTAAATGCGAAAAAAAAAATCGCATTGACGACACGCTGACATCCATAGGAAAGCATTGAGTAATGCTTTCCTATGGGTGGTTTGAATGTGCACGCGGCTTTGGCCACGCATGCGCATTCGGAGCTGACGTCGGCAGGGGGAGGAGAGGTCACTAGCGCTGAGGGAGTCTGGTGCTGGATTAAGGTAAGTGGTTTCAGCCCAGTGGGAGGGCTTGTTTTCCTGGCACTATAGTGCTCCTTTAACAAATAGTAAGTAAAGAAAGGACAGTAAAATATGTTGTCTATGTGTACCAGGGTCTCGTGGCTATATGGAACACATTAGTGTCAATTCATGTCTTGCCTATTAATCACTTCTATTGGTTTAAATCAGTGATATCAAAATCTGTCCCCTTGATATTGATGGACTAGAACCCCCAGAATTCTTTAATTGCAAAAGATGTCCTAAAAATGATGGGAGCTTGTAGTTCAGTAACAACTGGGGGGCCCATGAGTCAAAAGAGGCCATATGATGTTATGAGTGAAACCAAAATTATAAAGTCCAAAAAGTGTACCGCTTTGGGCGTTGCCGGCACCTGTCTAGTTATCTCATGACTACATAACTCAGGGAGCCTAAGAGAGAAGGAGGATGTTAATGAGATGTTACATAAACAGGAAATAATCCATTTGCTCAATGCAGATATTTTCATACCATGTGGGAGCTGTGGAGGAACCGTAGACCATAGAACTTGGCAAAGGACCACCATTTAAACAATGACTTCTTAATGCACTTGTTTTTTATCTACATTTCTTTTTGTATCTTCTAGGCGTTTTTTCCTGTCTCTTTAACTGCACCACCAGGTCTCAAAGATGTAGAGGCGGAAAGAGTCAGCAGCTTAATGAGTTAATTCAAACCAAGAACCACCAGCAGATGAATAATGTCAGGGAGAGGGAGAATGATTTAGGCATATAATCCCATATAGTACAGCCAGGAGCTGTGGCATTTCAGCCTTCAGATGTCAGGAAACCTGTTGCAGTTTTACAATCTCTTATAATCCAAACATCTGCCGTCTGCCAATGCTATGTTACATAAGTAAAT